CGTAAAACCAATAAATCATAGTGCATTCGAAAGCAGATATATTGGGCTATACAACTATGCATAAATATCCAAATCGATTTTTTTGTCGAAAAATGCTTTTTTTGAGGGGTGGGGGGCCCTTAAAGTAACCAGTACAAAGGGCAAACGACGTGTAGCATAATATACGTCATACATAGTTTATATCGCTATGTATTTCTAAAGAGGGAAGGCCACTTCGTAAGATCCTTAAGTCAAAAAGTTTTGAATTGCTGGTATTGCTCGAGACATTTTTGTCAAAATCTTCTAGACATTTCTGAAAATTTTTTTAAATAAATTAATAACTAAATATAAACTTTGCATGAAAATGCTTGTTTATCTGTATCTTTTACAGACAATCAAACACAAGAGTATAAGTTATATTATTACATTATTGATGTACATGATGTTTTCGGATGAGCGATCTATTCACTCATGACTAATTTGATTAAATCATTTTGACATTTTCTGATAGTGAACAGAACTACTCATTCAAATTGTGATAGAGAATCACGTTTATGCCAAAATTACATATAAGCTCTCACCATATCATACCAATTAACTTCTCAACAAATATACCAGAATATTGTAAGTATTTTGCTTCAGATAACAAAAGTCAACGAGTTTTTAAAATTTAACCGTTATATGTTGTACTGAAGACAAACAGTTAGTGAACTTCTATATCGACGTATAATATTTATTCTAAATGGTTGTTTTGTATGCAGTGATTTATCTAGTGGGTGGGCCGGATGGGCATCGCCCATCCGAAAATAAACAGTTGATTTAGTTTTAGAAAAAATTCTTTTAGCCAACAGTTCCTCCAAAAATTTGAACCGACCACCCGAAAAACGAAATCTAGATAAAACACTGTTTGTATGTAGCTAATTGACGAATTTTACCTGTTTTTGACGCTAAATCGTAATCTGAACCGTAAGTATTTGGTTCATTTTTTTCGATATGAATTGGTGCATTATCTTTGTCACTCTAAAGAAAAAATAATAGCAGATGCTAGACAAACATACAAGATTTTCTCGACTATTTAGTTGTTACACAAAACATAATTTTCATTGGATTGTTTAAAAATAATAATTTTTAAAATACGTACCATTTCTAAAGTTTCAACATTTTTACAATAAGCTTTTTGTAGTACCTCCGTAAAGAAAACAATTGCCAATACCTAAAGGAAAAAACTTAAAACTAGTTCATATATATGTACATAGTTCATACAAAACTTGGATGAATATATAATTCTTACTTGAACAACGTAACATATTAAAAATGAGATAACAAATGGTTTAAAACCAGATTCAGATAACGTTACGGGAAGACCTAAATCAGAGGATTTTCATTTTGAAGAATTCAAAAGTTTGTAAAATTAGGATTAGGAACTAAACCTACCTAATATTCCAGTACCCAATACTGAAGCGATCGAAACGAAATCTAAAAGAAATGACATACAGATGAAACTAATTTTGATAAATTAATTGCAGAATATCGTATACTAGAACATACATGTTCTAGTATACGATATTATGTTCACATCTGGATATAATTGATATGATCTTTTTCTTCAAAAGTGAAAAAATCTTAAAGTCAATCGATTTGGTTTTGATTATGTTGATATGAAATGATGATGATGATTTGTTTGTAAAGTGTGTGAAAGTATAAAACTTCTGACGCAGCCAGATTTAATGTAGAAGAATTCGAATTATCAATAGATTTTTGAGGATTACAAGATGATTAGGTAAAATTTTCGATATCTCAACAAATAAACGAATTAAAAGACAAAACATTTTAGTTAGACAGTTAACATTTTTGAAATTTTTCTCAATAGTTTTCATCTAGCTTTTACCTTTTACTTTTTGTAATCAGACAGTCAGTGATTTTTTTTTGTAGAGAATTGAACGATGAAAGGTTTTTTTAGAAAAAATTGAAACATAGGCGACGTAACGAGACAGTATTATTAGAAAAATACGAAGAGCGGCATGTATTCTGAGAAATCCGTTAATAGTTGTTCGAAGTAAAAAGAAACAAAATATATGTTGTTATTTGGCTACATCCATATTACGTACAAAATTGTGAGTAATGACATATATTTTTAAAAAAACCACCTATTGACGACATGTTCTAAATAGATAAAGAAAACAAGATTAAACTACTCATTTACCGTTAGAGAACGAGTTCGAAAAATGTAGACATGTCAAATCATACCTCAAATAATCATGATCAAAAAATTTTTTTTCTTTTTTACATATTTTGCTAATCGTTCGTATCTACCAAGCGGGACGATTACCAAATCTAAAAGAAAAAAACTGTACCTTATCATTGTGTGTCAAGTGAGAGTGAAGATCTTTCGTAAAATTCTTCAACTGAAATTTGAAAACATATAATACATAGTATAACAAGTCAAATTTGAATTTTAATAATGAAAAAAACTCGATGTTCCAATGATAGTTTTTGAAAAAAACTGTAGTACATTCTGACTTTTAGAAAAATTAGTCAACCGCCTTCGTTCAGTTCGGTTCCCATCTGTGGAAGAAAATAGAAAAAAAAGTAGACATAACATTTTAAAGTAGAGAAGAAATAAAAAATAAAAGAGTTTTAGTGCGTCATTGAAAAGTACTTTTTCAATTTCAATTTTGCAAATTATAATTCAATCGATACAATTAAATCGATATTTTACAATATAGTTTTCAGGTTAAAAACACATCGCTTGACTCTGAGAAAAAAAGTAACAAAACGTGTAAAGCAAAAAAAATAAAATTGTATTGTTTTTCTAGAATGTGTAAAAAGAAACTAGGTATTCTACTTTACAGGTAGATGTGCAATGTTAATTTTGTGATTTAATTAATATATATTATGAAAGAAATACATTAAAAGAAGTTACCTGCTATTGGCAGCTGTTGGGAAACAACCCTTGTCGTTTCTTATCGTCTAATTGCATTAATTTTCTGTCCAATACAATTTTGTCCTCGGATGAGTTCTAGGTTGACAGTAGCGATTTACGGGGGAAAATTGAAGGGCTACTCCTGTTGATTTTCGATTAGTCTCAGTACGTTGCTTAGTTGCATGACTGCAGTTCACCTTGACGAAAACTGTGGGTGTTTGCTCCTGAGAGAATATGTGTAAGTATAGAGGGAGCTGTAATGCAAGTCTGAATAATTCCTACACTACCATTCGCTGTATTCTCAGTCACTAAAAAACGATTTCTACACTAAGAAGTAAAATTTGCATTTGAGATGCAACACGCCCTGTGTAAATAAGGATAAATAAAAAAGATAAATTGCCCGATCTGATTAGTGAAGATTGCGGCTCAACGATTCAAATCGGACAATTTATCATTTTATCTTTATCTTACACACAGCCCTGAATTTGTTGCTTTCTTTTACCTCCAAGGAGCTACGGTGAACGCAGTTACACGTAAATAGTATCCCTTTTATAGTTAAAAACAGCTTACTGAAACTGTAACCTGCCGAAAGATTAGATGTCCTTTTTTATTACACTTTTTGTGTTGTTTGGCTTGATTCATTTATTACAGGTCAGTGACCTTTGATGACTGGTTTTCTTGTCTTGCTCTTTTGCTCTTCTCTTTACCATTTTGCTTGTATCTTCTCTCCTTCCTCTATGGACATGTTGACAAAGTTATCTGCCTAGATTCTTACTCAAACGCCGTTTTTATTTTGTTACAAACTTTTGCACTAGCAATGGTTTTTTTTTCATGTATCCATGGCTATGCCAGAATAAACTGAACTGAACTGACTCCCTCACTTTTCATGAATAAAACAGTCTTAGTCTTAGTCTAGAAAGTTTCGTGACGGTGAACTTTCTTCCTACAGATTTGCTCGTATTAAAAAGCGTGAGTTTTTAACACTGTTCAATTGATATTGTTGAAAAATGGTAAAGAACCTAGAGCTAATTCCTCTTTTCTTTTTTTACAGCAGAAAAAAATAGTGAAATGAAGCGTGTTTTCGTCCTACGTTTCATGCAAACAAAACGGAGTAGATCTTGAGAAACCGGTTGGCATAGGTGATAATGAATTGGCAATCTCAACTATCCTTTATCAACTTACTTTTAAGATATAAAAAGACCTTTCTTTATTTTATCTCACTCTTCATTCATGTCTATGTATTTCACTTTCCTCCTGTACACTAGTCGACAGCACTTCATCTGATATGCGTTCCGAACGCGAAATGTTAGTTTGCCGTTCCAATATTTACGCCGGGAGGAAACAAATGGATGAGAATCTCATTAACGTTTCTTGTATTTCATTCCACGCTTCTCAAAAGAGGACGTAACTTGCGAAAATCTTGTACGTTTATGTCTAACTTAGGATAAAAATTCAACCGTTTTTTCCTATATAAAATGTAGCGCTTTAGACAATATGACATGAAAAATTTCATGATGGTTTTTGTGTTTCCGTTTTTTCTTTTCTTCGAATTTTTTTTCGCATAAATCAGATAATTTAAAAAATAACAATTTCCTGATTGTATTATTTTTGTTTCATTCTTTCTAGAACATCAAATTTTGGTCATTATCGTTTTAATACATCCTATATCTATGACTGAATGAACAAAAGAGTTTAAGAATCATAAAAAAAATCATTAAGTGATTATAACTGTCGTAAACACTTTTCTTTACATGTTGATCTAACATCGTGCACGTTTACTTCAGCTCGACGAGAAAAGTTTTCAGTAATAAAAGCTTAAGAACTTCTTTCTCCGTGGTCCAAGTCGCCTTGAATGTATACAAGCTTAATGATCATTCGTCTAGATTGAAAAATTTAATGGTTTAAATAGATTTGAACTACTGTGAAGAATCCGAATTCAAAGGTTCCAGTGCTAACAAATTTGTCCTTAAAAAAAGCTTTATCTACATCGACATGACCTATTGTACAGTATCGAGCGCCATCTCTCCCTTTTTAGTGGAAGTTGAAAAACAAAACGGAATTTTCTCCTACAACTTTCAGATATTCAACTGCACAAAAGTTGCCAAGGCTTTGTTTTTAATTTACGGGTTGTTTTACATTCAATGATACTGGATATTTTCGAACCAATAAAAAGTTTAAAACTTTCACTAATGACTGATTTTTTTTGACCTTCCGCTTGCATCATATAAGTATCTTGGACGATATAATCGTTTAAATTGCGTGTTATGTTTGGTTTCTAGTAGCTTCTTGCTGCATCTGTCGATTTGCTCACTCTGTTGTCTCTAAACCTAGTCATTGGCTTTGTTGGATTTCTAACTTCTAAAGCTAATTTCTGCAGATAGTGCTTAAAGTGAAACTTCTATTAACTACTAGAGTTGTTACCAATGGTTTGCTTGTTCATTGTAAGTCCCATGAGTTCTATCAATTTTAAAAAAGTCTTATTATTTCATTCGTGAGAGAACTTTTTTGATAGATTGGTGAGATTAGTGTTTTTAATGGAAGAAACAAAGTGTACGACCAATTTGAAAATTCAAATGCATACCCTAAATTTACATTTTGTAAAAAAAGGCAAAGCAAGATATAATGTGTGCACCTTGTTTTTTTTCACGATCTACATCAAAAGAAGTCGAAAAAACCACTTAACGAATTTTACATCAGAGAAGAGAACTGCATGTTGGGCTTAATGTTCTAAGGAATGAGTTATAATAAGGACAGAATAGTTAAGGAGCTATACTGAACGTTAAAATGGGATGTCCCATGTATTTCTTTATTTACATCCGGTTAGTTTTCAGCTTGATTTTTATATATTAAGGTTGTGATATTTTTGATATTAAAGTTGTTCGAAATAGTTTTGATATGAAATGATGATTTATGCTATTGAAGTAGTTGAGGTAATTCTGAACAGCCTTTTTAATTGGGGGAATTATGGACCGTCAGTGTGTCTCGTTGAAAGCAAATCTGGACAGTCCGTGTAAATCGCACGCGATAGACAGAGAACAACTTTCACCGTCTTTTGAAAATCGATTTTAACATCTTGCTAAATGGCAAAGTAGTTCGTAACCGTGGGCTCTATCAGATATGTAAAAACCGGACAAAAATAGTTCATTTTCACAGTTTCGTAGAGAATATGAATATTGTTGTTTTTGAACATATTTTTGTCGATTAAAACTAGAAGAAAAATTGCTTACAACTTTAACCAGCAGTTAACTGACAAACAAGTTCAACTTTTCATAAACGTGGTACATTTCGTTTCATGCTACATCAAATATTTTTTTTGAAAGCAACTCATCTAACACCAACTATTCAGTATTGAATTGGACAATGTCAGGATTATATCTGAATACAGTTAATTGGTTGTATTAGTGTAAAATTTCTTTTGGTACTATTTATCGATTCTACAGTAAATAAGAAACCATTCACTTGAAACATCAAATATTTGTTGGTTTAATTCACAGACTCTTGAAATTCCTTCTAATCTCAGGAATTTATTTTATAACTTCATAAATTTGCAGATTAAGTACATTTTTTATACGGGAGAGGAACAAAATGAATAATTTCATTTTTTTTCTCGTAATATGAGCCAATAGTGCCAAGTTTTCGTTAAAATATCAGTTCAGGAAAACCTCAGAAAAAAATGACTATGTTCTTTTATTTTGTAATTTTTAATTAATTAATTAAGGATATGTCTAAAGGGCTAGCAATTTACAAAGTAGATAGAGCTCAAAATTCCCTACAAGAGGGTATAATTTTTAATTAGAAAGGTAAAACTTTGCCTTAGAAACAAAATTGTTTTACTTTTTTATAATTAATTATTAAGACTTTTTCGATTCTTAAACTCTTTTATTCGTTCAGTAAATTTAATAGATATAGAGTAAATAAATAATGACATTTGCTCAGTTCTAGTGTAAAATTTAATACGGATGGAGTTACTTAAAATAGTAGAAGAAAGAAACATTGTTCGTACACAGTTACATTTTATTCTTCTTATTTTTCACTTTATCCATTGTATGACGAAGTAGTACATAACCAGTGCCAGCATCATGCAGATTACTGTACCTAATAAAACTCTTTGTTTTTTCCTCTCAGTAGTTTGGTCATAGTGTATCGATAAGTCTATTTGTGTTTAACGTTACTTTAATATTGTACATTTGAACTTTACTGACTGATCTCATTAATAATTGATTAAAATTAAAATTTCCATTTAATTTTAATCATTTTAACACGTTTATGTATACTTTAAGAGTTGAGTCCATGTTTTCATCAGACGTTAATCAAAGAGATTGTTTCTTGTATCAAGTAAGACCTAAATAAAATAAAAAAACACCTGAATTGGAACGACGATACTAAAATAGGCTTTTAAATATCATTTATACGCGACTATTTTAGGAATTCTCTCTATATCTGTATCAAAATCACTTATTTTCGATACCCAACTCTCATGTTTTTTATAATAGTTTGTACAACTTTTATGTGAAAACTTTGCAATTTATTTTGCATTAAAGTTATCGTTTTGTGAACGGATCAGTGAACATTTTTCTCGACTACTTGGATATTTCACAGACATTTAGGAGGATGTATCATGAAAGTATTACTTGATACCGTGTTTTATTGATTCTAAATCATTAACGAAATAGACTCATTAAGTCGATAAACGTGAAAATTTAAAGTCATTGATGATTTTTTCTGTGCATGTTGTATCATCCAGAACACAACGTTTTTCGCTATTATGACTCTGTGTGGTAATAACAATATGAACTTCTTTAATTACAGGTAAGGCAATAGCTGAAAGTGTCATTTTTTTCTTGAAATCATACTCCTTTGTTTTTTGTTGAGAAAGAATAATATTTAATGTGTTCTAGTTATTGTTTTAATTGACACATATTATTTTCTCTTATAGAATGTGACGTTCTAATCTGCTTCTAACGTTTCAAAACAAATTAAGAAATGATTAAAAAAAATGAATCCCTATAAGCTCCTTTTACTGCTATCATAAAGTAATAAATGTTTAGAAACAACTCTGACAAACGTCTTACTACTTCATCTAAATAAAGAGACTTGCATTTCTATATGTTATATTGATTAGAATCTTCATAGCTTCAAAATGTATTTATTATGAAAATTAAGCTTAGTTTACGAGTTATTCAGATTTTTTGTGATATATATTTTAATATTTGTGTTCAATGTATCATTTATTTAAGTGACTTTTCTGAGTTATCAAAATTGTTAACGAGAAAACAAATTAATTTATCGTTTTTCTTCTTCACTATATCATAAACATTTTATACCATCTAACCATTATTTAATTCATAAATTTAACTAATAATGGTTTCACAAATATTGATAGATTCTATACTGGGCTATTTAGAATCTCTAAACATGAAGTATAAGATTATGACTATTACTTGATTACTTGTCTTACTTTACGTTGTTGAGTCTGTAATACGTCTTCGAAGTAAAGAAGAACCTTTTTTCTTTCTTCAAATTACTAATAATCTTTAGTTATTTGATGAACAAATTTTATTCTCTTATTTCATTTTTAAATTTTTAGTATTGAATATATCATTGAATACACGCAATGATGTGTACAGTCATAGAACGAATATCGTGAGTGATAGAAAAAGAACGTGAAAGAGTAAGAATGAGAAAATTAAAACGTGTTATTCATAAACAATTTGGAGGTATTTATCTTGTTTTGTTTTTTTTCAAAAATTGGATTTAATTTTGTTTATTCTAGGTGTTGGAAATTTTTTTGCCATGATCATATTGGTTGCAGTCACTGTTATCTTTGTTAATTCATATTTTCTTCCTAAAAAACGATGTAAGTTTTGACAGAATAAATCAATAAATATATTAAAAAATAATTTTGTTTTTTTTTACTTTTAATTTTAGCTCCAGATAGTTATAATTTTAATTCACCAGAACTTTCTTCCGATGAAACGCAATTAACATTTAACAACATTAGTTCAGACGAAGAAAATAAACAACAACACAAATCTAAAGAAAAAAATAAACGATTAAGTGTGCCAGAATTTGGTTAGTTTTTCATTTTTTTTTATTACATTTTTTTGTAGATTCTAATAGATAATTTCATAAAAAATTTTCAGGTTGTGAAATCGAGTATAAATGTAGAAATAATGAAATACCATACAAAGCAATTTCGGGTGATGGAATGGATAAATATCCAATTATCTGTTTTGATAATAAATTGTATGTAAAATAATGAAATAATTTTTTCATTTGATAATTAATGATTTGAATCGTTTTAGATTGATTCATAAAAGTTTAAAAGACTCAAAAATTGGACGTGGTGTAAATTTAGTTGCCATCGATGGTATGTATGAGAGTATTATGAATAAGAATGTTTATATTAGACTTCATTTATGTTTTGTTTCTTTTAGGCAAAACATTTGATATTAAAATAACGGAGACGTTCGATACTTATCTTGAAGGTAAGAAATATCTGCCTCTCTCTCTCTCTCTATAGATATATATATTACATAAGGGAAAAACTTGTCATCTCTATTGTTTTAAAATAGAACATTTAGTATAAAACTATTTTTAATTTAGAAACATTTTTTCTACGCAATTTAAAACTAAATTTAAATGATGGAGATATTGTTATTATGGCTAGTTTTGATGAAATGACACACGGGTAAGGATGAAATTCATCTATCATTGAAATATTTTGACTTATTTTTGTATTTAGATTGAAAGAAGCATCAGTATCATTATTAGAAAATTATGGTAGTCAAGCAATAAAAGCACTTAAATTTCGTGATTCATTCGTTATGATGGGACAAAAAGGATTGGCAAAAGGAAAAGCCATCGAAATGGTATGAATTTTTTTTTTTTGACTTATAGAAATATGATACACAGTATAAAATGAGTTTAAATAAATTTTGTTTTATAATCGCTTTTTTCGTTACGTCCTCCTCAAGACTGCTTTTCTGTAACTTTTCTCTCACCATAGTTGAGAATATATACGTCAGACATCACAAAAATAACTTGATGATTCAATCTTCCATGCCGGTTACTCATCCACTTACTAATCGTCGTTCTGACGTTTAACCAGAGAAAAGACAAACTCATTGTCATCAATTTTTCTATGAGTTATGCGAGTTTAGAACGATGAAAGTAAAAAAAAAAATGACTTTGAATTCGACTTATTTGAACTAAACAAGTCGAGTTTAAAATATCAAAATCAGTAAGATTAGGAGGTTTTAAAAGTAGAAATAAACTTTGACTGTAATCGTCTTTTTTTATTACATTGAATTTATTTTTATATTCTAGCATACACTAAAAGGACAACATGATTTTGCACCAGCAGCACATATATCCGGTTGTGCTAAATTTCCACGTATGTCTGATATTAAAAATATTTCTATTTTACTTCTTATTTAAACATTTTTGTTTTTTTCATCTTTTATTTAGTTGGTGTATTAAGTCCTTTATTATTTCAACCTACGGATGTGAAACGTGAAGGTGCAATTGCTATTGGTTCAACGTTAACAAATTGTGGTCTTCCTGAGCAATGTAAAGATAATGAGTTTTCCGTTCATGTTTACACAGGAAAAGATAATAATGATGAACCAAAAATATGCATTGATGGAAAATAGTAAGTCGAAGAAAAATAACAAATTTTCTCATTTTTGTTTATATTCATGTTCATTATAATCTATTTCATTCTATTTATTATTCTTTAGTGTAATGGCTAAAGGTATAAATGATGCTGGTAGAGGTTTGAATATTGTGATTGTTTCAAATGGAAAAGAAATTATTCGAACTGGACATTTTGATACATGGCAAGACGGTCAGTGAAATGAAAAATGTTATATTAGCTTATAAATTTGCTTCTATTTGTTTAGATAGCACAAATTTGGAAATATTTCTTGAAAACTTAGAAGATAATGTAATATTAATAGTGGCTACATTTGATGAAGCATCACAAAAGTAAGTCATTATCATCTCTAGAAATATTTATATATTGCTAATATGAAAACAATCGATAAATAAATGAATTTAATGAATGAAAGAATTAATTGTATGAGTTCAACAATTATTGTTGTATAAATTTTTATTTCATTTTAAAACAGAAACTTTTGATCATAATTACGATCATCATCAGCCATATCTTATATAGTATATATATATATCATTGTATTCTTCTCTTCGATTCTTTTTTATTCTGGTTTCTTTGGTACTGTTTTGATATATTTGAACGTTGTAAGAAGGAGAATTGTGAGGAATTAAGTTACTACAGTGTGTCAAATAGAATAAAAATTTTGAAACAACAATTGTTGAGCTCATACAATAAAAACCCTCTCATTTGTTAATTTATTATCAACAAACAAAATTACAAATGAATTTGAAACAGAACTTTTAGACGAAACTAGAAGATCAGTATTAGAGACTTCGATAGTTAAAATCATTCACGTGAACTAAAAGTATGTGTTGGATCGTGTCTCGTTAGAATTTCTGGCGTATTACCACAAGATCCTCGGTTTCATTCTTCGATCAAGATATACATTTTTTTCACGTGCTTGTCTATCAAATTATGTCTCTTTCTCAGCTGTGTACAAATTCATCTTCTAGAAAATAATCGAAGATATGAGTTCGAAATCCAAAATCAAAACTGATTCTTTATTTCAGTCTATCTTTAGTTTACAAAATTTCTCACGTGTCTTATTTTGTGACTCCAGCAGTTCGAAAATAGGTACTCTTGATTTTTGTCAGACATGAATATTTATCTATCACTAGAATACAAGTATTAGTTCTAAAGAGATGTTTTTTTACTATTTCTTTTATTTCTCACTCAATTTTGATCAGTAATAAAACAAGCATTAATAACACTAGTGCTACTATACTACTGCTACTACTACCACTACCACTACTACTACTACTACTACTACTACTTCTACAACTACCACTACCACTACCACTACCAATATTATCAGTTTCGAAATAGTCTCATCTAATGAGAATAGAGAAGCAATAAAAGAGAATTCTACTCAACAACGGTTGAATCAGACATGGTATTACAACACATAATTGTTTAATTAATGTAAGAATTTAAAAAATTACTGACTGCAGAAATGTTTTTAAATGTCTTAATTACCACGAACATCGTTGATAGAGAAAATGAGTGAGAAAGACTTGGTAACATTTGAGTTATAGTATCATTATAAGGTGCGTGAAATTCAAAATTACAGCGCTTTTTATTTTTGCGATATTTATACATGGTTGAATAGAGCTCATCGAATTGAATAAGAATATCAGGGGGTCGTATCACGAAAAAACTTAAGTCTACGTTTAAGATCGACTTAAGTTCGGAGACTTAAATCGTATCACGAAAAAGACTTAAGTTGGCGATTTGTTTACTCTTTAAAAGTCGTTGACAACAATAACAAACTTCGGATAAAAACCCGCAAAATAACGAAATATTTATTCTCTAATCCTTAGAACGTCGTTTTCGTCGTATCGTTAGATGCCTGATCTATTCAAAAAATGCGTCACTCAAGTCCGACTGAAGTTTTCGGTCTTAACTTTAAGACTACATTTCCCATGACTTACGTCACCCTTTGACTTAAGTTTTTTTGTGATACGATCCCCAGTGCTTTAACGTTTGAAAAAAATTTTGAGATTGAAAATATTGTTTTGTTGTTGAGAAAATAAGTGGTTTTGAAACAGGTAGGAAAAACAAGCAAATGGACTCTATTATATTTTGCAGTTTTCAACGTCAAACTCACTTTTCTTTTTTGCGAAATCAATGCCATGTTTGGAACCAGTATCAAATAATGAATCAACTAATGTTTGCTTCATGTTTTTTGGATAACTGTAATTTTTTAGCAAAAATTTCAATCAAAAAAGTTCGAAAAAAAAGTAAAGTTGTCCGAAAAACGTGAAGCACACATTAGTCGATGCTTAACTGTTTTAGTGGGCTTGAACCGATCATAACGATATTAAGATATTGACTTCATCTTCTAACCAAAATGAATTGAAGGTTTTACCGCGACCAGACGAGGTATTTCAGCTATGGACGAAAAACTAAAATTTTTCATAGACTTACGATAATTGAATGAAGTCCAAAATAGATTTTTTCGATTTAATTTTTCACGTAGAATAAAAATAAAATATTTTTAAAATTATCTAAATGCTATGCACAGAGATTCTGACTTATTTTTAAAAACTAAGCCGTTTTATAAGAATTTTAAAAATTTTGTGTTTTTTTGAATTTTCAATCTCAAAATTCTTTTTTAAACGTTAAGGCATACATATTCTTACTCAGCTTGTTGAGGTCTATTCAACCATGTATAAATATCGCAAAAATAAAAGGTACTGCAATTTTGAATTTTCGGCACGTTACTGATCTACTTCCTATTGATTTAAGGCCCCCCTCCCCCTCAAAAATCGATCTCGGCCTTGGTCAATACAAATGGGCTGAAATGTGGAGCATATGTTGGGGCTGAAGTGTGAAGGCTGTGGTAAAATTTTCAGCTCGATACCTTGATATTTGACAGAGATATGAGCAAAACGCGGGTCAAAAATAGGTCATCTTATCTCCAAAAAATCTCCATGGCCCTTCAAAAAAGTCGAATTTCGTCAAAAAAACGAAATTTT